ATATGGGGCCTTCTATGGGGCCTCACGGGCTGTCTTGGGGCTATCCTGGAGGCCATTGGGGCCGTCTTGGGCGGTCTGAGCTGAAACACCAAATGAAACATAAACTGAAAAATGAAACATGCATTTTTCATTTTTCACTTTGCGGCCTCTTCGAAGGCCTGGTGGACTTTCGAGGGCCTCCTGGGGACTCGTGGCATAGTTGCAACCCTTCGGATACCCTCAGCTCCCTTGAGTGCATGAGTCATTTCAGAAATCTGAGGACACAGGATGTGCCACTGTGGGAATCGTCTGGGTACCAGGTGCGGTCACGAGTTGAAACAAAAAGTGAAACATGAAACATGTATTTTTCATTGTTCATTTTATTTTTCATTTTTCATTTTATTAGGAAAACCATATATATACATATATATGAAGAAAAAAGTTTTTGAAAAAAGAAGAATAACATGAAATATGAAAAATGCATGTTTCATTTTTCACTTTTAGCGCGCGCCCTGTGTCCACCAGGATTGCACTTGTTATCTTGCGCGCCACTGGGGGTGCAGGCGCATTTCACTCGCGCAACTCATGCCTAGGAGAGGGCTGAGGGGCAACAAAACCTATCTGGTGGGGAGGCCTTCATGTCTGGGGACGTCCGGGGCAGGCAGTCCGGAGCCTCAGTGGCTTGATCGCTCATGTTCTGGAGGCCCCAGCTCTCGACAGCCACTTGTGCTCGAGTGCAGTGCGCGAGTTCTGGCTTGGACCCTGCTGCGCACCATGGCTCCGAAGATGGCAAAGACGACCCTCAGCACAGTCACGCCGTCGAAGGAGGAGCTGGCCAAAGCTCGAGAGATACTCGCACAGGCAGCGCACGATTTCTCAAACAGGGCACTGTCTGTGGAGGGTTGAGCGGGGTATGCATACGCATACCCCGCCCAACCCTCCACGGGGGCAGTGGGGTGGCGGGGATCTCTCGAGCCTGCCGACAGGCAGACGGTAAGGAGCTGGCCTCGAAGAAGCAGTCGATGAAGCACTTCCTCCCCTCGAACCCAGACGCTGCAGCTTCGTCGGCGAAAGGCGCTACCAAGATGGCGTTTCTAGAGAAGTTCCTCGTGCACCAGCTGAGGTGCAAGGATACAGAGAAGAAGTCGCTCAGCGAGAAGACGAAGAAGACATCTAACATCACGTACAACGATGTTCCGTGGATGTCCCAGGATAAGATGGACGCTGAGTTAGGCGAGGCCAAGGCCAAGCATTGGCGCGAGTGTGGCAAACTCAGGAGCAGGCCTGATCGCCTCACAGGCTCCACGGACCCACTGCTGGTGGAGTGGCAGCGGACCCCCTGTGCCCACCGAGTGGCAGCGGATGAGCGACGAGGACATCCACACCTTCATGCTGCAGGTCTCGGGCGACGCCGACGAGGAGGACCTCGCCACGTTCAACAGTGCCATGGCGGCGAGCTCCGATGTGAAGATCAAGGAGGAGCCCGAGACAGAGACGACGAAGATGGACAAGCGCGTCGAGGAGCTTCGGGCTGGTGTGCAGGATAAGCTTCGCGTGTACCATGACATGCACGCCGATGCCAAGGTGATCGAAACTAAGATCGGAGCATCTTCTGACAATGGTAAGTACTCTGAGACCTTCGTGAAAGACCTCGACAAGCATATTGCGAAGCTTGCGAGGGCCACCAAAATCCTGGACAGGATGTGCACCGAGGAGGTGAACGACACTGAGCTGCCGAAATTGATCAACACCTTGGATGCGATTGACAAGGAAGACGTTTCCATCAAGGAGTGGGCCGTCAGGTTCAATGCCTACACCCCGAAGCCGACTGGGGAGGGTGGCAACAAGCGCAGGAGGACCAAGAGGGAGTGAGGCGTGACAGCATGTCGCATCAAAGTTCGGGGTATCTTCAGCCGCAGGGAGTTCTGCACTTCAGTTTCTTTGCTTGGGGAGAGTTGTTTTGAAGCGTAGTTGCAAATACGTTTTCTCTTGAGCTGGCTTGGAGCTGGCCGTTCGCTCGCAGCCGTCCGCTTACCTGCAGGCGCAAAACGCACTGAACTTTCAACACTGAGTGCAAGCACTGAGCAAGCACTGTCCAAGCACTGTTTGGGGACCCGTAGGGCTACTAAAACCTTAGTGCAAGCTCTGTTTAGGTACCGATCGCAACAATTGCAACCCTTGCAAGAAACTCTTAGTGCAAACGCTGTTTAGGGGACCTGTATACAAACAAGACGGACACGACAAACCGAAGAGACATATAACATGAACTACCACATGAATCCACATGAAATGAACAAACGATGTTTAGGGGACCTGTATACAAACAAGACGGACACGGCAAACTGAAGAGACCTATACAATGAACTACCAAACGAATCCACATGAAATGAACATCACATCACATGAAATCCAACCTGCAACGAGCGTTATGACATGCACGGCACACATACAATGCCAAATGACATACCAACTGAAACATGCCTCCCCTTCCCTCTCCCACCCACTCCGTTGCCCATAATTCTGGTTCACAGTAATTGGCAAGGCATCCCAGTGATGTTGCTGTGCATTTTTCCTTGTTGTGCTGAGAGGCACGCCACTTTCGAGATGCATGGATAGAAAGGGCGGTGTCAGACGACGTTTCGAACAGCTTGCTAGACGCGCGTGCTGACGATCCTGAGCCCGAGCTGTCGGAATCAAAGATTCGAGGAGGCGTCCGCCAGAGATCATCACGGAGTGCTGTTTCAAATGAGCCAGCTCCTGAAGCTGGACCGTTCTGTCGCACCATGCGCAAGGACTGGGCAACTGGCACCCCATCGTCAGCTAAAGTTCAGGAATGTGCATTCGCAGCCCAGCAGCAAGGAGCCGAGGGGTTGGACAATTTAGCAGCAGTTGGTACATATGGGAAATGGCCTCAAAACCTTCTACGAGATTTGAAAAATCTCTTCGGCTACCCGCTCGGCTCGCCACCCATTTACTGGGTCGAAGTACCAATGAAGCATAGCAGGAAGATCGTACATCCAGTTATATTCCCTCACAAGTTTGTCATGGAAATGTGTGCTAGGCGGAGAGACGTGTGGGATCAGAGAATCGTCGGCCTTGATGGTGGCCTCGTGGCCTTCTGGGAGTCGATGGCCCACTCCCGTTTCGTGTAAGAGCATCCACACCTGCCACGCGATGTATGGGATAGAACTGTTCCGATCGGATTTCACGGAGACGGAAAGGCATTTTGTTCTGCCGACTCCATGTACGGGTTGGCATGGAACAGCCTTGTCGCAGCAGGCACAACAATTCAAACGCGGTTCTTGTTCACAGTGTGCCGCACATCTGACATGACGTCGGATACGCTTGATAGTTTGCTCAGGATATTTGGATGGAGTTGCAATGTGATGCTTAGTGGTCAGACTCCATTCGTTAACTGGAACAATCGGGCGTTGGAGGGTGGAGGTCAAGATCTGGCGGCAGGATTCCGTGCCTGCCTCTGCCAGATCAGAGGCGATTGGTCTTTCTACAAAGAGGTCTTTAACTTCCCCCAGTGGAACCAGAGCGACATGATGTGCCCTGTCTGCCGAGCAAGTTCTGACGACATGCACAGGTGTTGGACTAATGTGGCTCAGGATGCAGGCTGGAGGGCCACGAGATGGACTCACGAAACGTACATTCGTCACCGACTTGCAACAAGTCTTGCGATACCCGTTCTATTCCTAGTTGTCCTAGGCCTCAGGCTCGAGTGCGTTACGGTGGACGTCCTTCATACCGTCGGCCTCGGGATCGCGGCGCACATTGTTGGAAATGTGATGTTCCACGTGGCTGTGAAAAAGAACGCGTTCAGAGCACCGACTTACGATGCAAGAGTCAAGATGTGCCAGAAAGATTTGGTGGAGTGGTACAAGGCTACACAATGTACTTCGAGATTGCATGGGGGGTTGACCCTCGATCGGCTTCGCTCAACTGGCGGCAACTGGCCAAAACTTGCTGGCAAGGCCGCCGCCATGCGAAAGCTGCCTAACTACGCCCTACAACTCATCTCAACCCATGCTGATATGGATGACGAAACGGACAGAATGGTGATAGGAGTTTCTCAATGTCTAGTGCGACTTTACACGCTATGTGAGGACGAGTCTCAGTTCATGCGGCCTGATGCTCAGACTGCAATCGCCGAGACGTGCGAGCAGCTTGTTTCAATAAAAGAAAAAACGTGGAAAATGAATCCAAAGCTGCGTCTGTACATCCATCTTTGCGTGGACCAGATTCCCGAAATCGGCAATCCAAGATACTTTTGGACGTATGGGGACGAGGACCTCGTCGGAAGATTGATCTCGATTGCGGAAGGCCTACACCCCAGGACTGTCGCTGTAAACACACTTTTCAAGTGGATGTGGTGCGTTTTCGACGAGGTACTGCTCCCAGAGACCGAAGAGTTCAGGAGGTGAAAAAACAGCTAAAACAAGAAAACAACACATACGCAATCCACAAAACACACACACACACAAACACACACACACACAAGCTATATACAAGGCTTCTCGCCTACCCCGCCGACACAATGGTTTGAGCCAGAATGGCTACGGACTCCTCCTCCTCCTCCTTTTTCCAGCCGAGTTAGTTTTTTACTTCGCTTTTGCGTGCCTCCTCATCCTCCTCGTCTTCGTCCTCCTCCTGCTTTTCCTCCTCCTCCTCCTCCTCCTCCCTTTCCCTCCTCCCTCGCCCTCCTCCCTCCTCCCTCCTCCCTCCTGCCGTCCTCCCTCCTTGCCGCACTGTCGCCTGAGACGCCCTCAGAATTTACTCAAGCATTGCACTCTCGCTCGAGATTGGTGAAAACGTAATCATGCATATCAGCATGTGGACCACTATCGATATTTATTGAAGATCTTCCACACACCTTATATTATCGAGATAGATGAGCGAGTGGGTCCCCCGGTCCCGGACCCCCCCCGGTCCCGGACCACCTCCCGGTCCCGGACCTGCAGGAGGAGGAGGAGGAGGAGGAGCAGCAGCAGCAGCAGCCCCTCCCTCCCCCGATCCTCCATTGCCTTCCGCGCGAATTTCTTCCAGGCGTGGTCCACGGCCTGCCGCCTGAGCTGCTTCTCCCTGTCCAGGTACTCCTCGTCACGAGCTCTGCGCTTCTCTTGCTGGTCCGCTCTTTGCCCGTCCGCACTTTGCCCCTCGGCAAACCTGAGGAAGTGTCGACCCTGCCCCTCCTCGACGCGGTAGGTCCTGTCGTGCCGACATGGCAGCTCCAGCGTGAAGTACTTGGCCCACTTGGTGTTGATGACCTCTGCGTAGAAAGCATTGGTCCCCAAGTGGTCGGTCCAAGTGCTGGATACCAGCGTCATCTCCAAGTGATAGACGTCACTTACCTTCTGCTCAAAGGTGTCGAATCCTACAGCTGAGCACATGTCGCCGACACTTACTAGCGACACTTTCATCATGGCGCGCATGGCATCCGTAAGTCGGGCGAGCTGCTCATCGAGGTCAGAGCGGTAGGCGTAGCAAGTCTCCACCAACAACTCACGACGCACAACTTTCGTTACGTCATCGCCACGGGAGTGCGCAGTGGGAAGCGGGCTGCCGTGCGTCAGATGTGCTAGGTGTTTTGCCAGCTGCGTGAGACCTTCACGAGAAAGAACTGAATACGGAGACACATTGCTGCCACTGCACAACGGGGAAACTCCAGAGCGGAAGAGCACGATGTACCGAGGCAACTCGTCTGAAGACTCGACCGTAAGTTTCAGTAGTTCTTTCATATCGCGTAATATGGATGGAAACCGCTGCAACCTCAGAGGCTGTTCGTTGTCGCCCAGCAAGACGTCCAAGCATGTGTCCAACTCAGTCGACAGATGGTCTACACTCTTCTTACACAGACTGAGCACGCTGTCGTCAAATTGGTCCCCTGTCGCTACGCTCAGCTTCTGCATGAGCTCCATCAGATTTCCTTGGAGGAGTTCCATCTGAGCTGATTGCAGCCGCTTCGCCTCTTCATGAAATCTGTCCGACAAAACGAACAGTCGGTCGCGCACTGTGGTAGACAAAAACTGAATAGCCGCGTCAGTCAGTTCACCACTTGCTGACGGCAACCCCAACTCTGCATGCTTTACCTTCAGTGCTTGGCGCTGGTCCAACAAGCATCTAATCGTGTTGGGGACAACATCGCGAACCATGTTCTGTCGATACACGTCGCGAATTCTGTTTAATATTTCGCTTACGCCATGGCCACGCAACCCAATTTTTTCAAGCTGTCCCCTCTCATGTTGCTCCTGGTGACACAACCGTACCATTGGTGACTCGCCTTCCTGGAGTTGGGTCGGTGGATTTGCTGTCCCAATGAAACCGTAAGGCGTGAGCGTTGCAGTGGCAGTACCACCGAAGCAGGCGCTCAGTACTGGACTAATCCCACCAGCCCTTTGGGCGTGAGTGGTTTAAGGAGCTCTCTCTGTTCTCAAGCCCCCTTCTTCACCTTCGGGGAGGGGTTTACCCCTCCCCCTACCCCCTCCCCCTGGACCTGGAGAGGGGGTTTCGCGGGTGGTTGGAGGGGTCTTTTTTCGACTCCTGGGAGGGCTAAACAACGACGACCCTCACGAGGATTCTGGCCCCGACGGGGGGAGGGAGATAGGCCCCTCTGCTCTTCTTTGAAGCCAAACTCATTGACTTTACTACGGTTTTGGCCCCATGTTGGCCTCCTGAAGGGGGCCGCGCTCATCTTCCTTCATAGCGAAATCATTGATTTTACGAAGCCCTTTGGGCGTGAGTGGTTTAGGGAGCTCTCTCTCTCTCTCTCTGTTCTCAACCCCCCTTCTTCCCCTTCGGGGAGGGGTTTACCCCTCCCCCTACCCCCTCCCCCTGGACCTGGAGAGGGGGTTTCGCGGGTGGTTGGAGGGGTCTTTCTCGACTCCTGGGAGGGCTAAACAACGACGACCCTCACGAGGATTCTGGCCCCGACGGGGGGAGGGAGATAGGCCCCTCTGCTCTTCTTTGAAGCCAAAATCATTGACTTTACTACGGTTTTGGCCCCATTTTGGCCTCCTGAAAGGGGGCCGCGCTCATCTTCCTTCATAGCAAAACCATTGATTGTACTAAGGTGTTGGGCTCATTTTGTCCTTCTCAGGGCGCAGCTCTCGTTTGCGCTTCTGAGGAGGTCGCAAGAGGCCACAACATGGCCCCAAAAGGCTCCCAGGAGGCTCCCAAGAGGCCTCCAAGAGGCCCCCAGAGGCCCCCAAACGGCCCCGAGGCCTCCAAGAGGCCCCCAAGCGGCCCCCAAGAGGCCTCAAGAGGCCCCAAGAGGCCCCCAAGAGGCTCCCAGAGGCCCCCAAGAAGCCCCACGAGGAGCCCGAACGACTCACACCAGGACGAGGGGCCCGAACGACTCACACCACGAAGAGCCCGAACGACTGCTACTGCTACTGCTACTGCTACTGGTACTGCTACTACTAGTGCTATTCCTCGTACTGCTTCTCGTACTACCACTACCACTAGTACTGCTACTGCTACTGCTACTGCTACTGCTACTACTACTACTACTACTACTACTACTACTACTACTACTACTACTACTACTACTACTACTACTACTACTACTACTACTACTACTACTACTACCTACTACTACTACTACTACTACTACTACTACTACTACTACTACTACTACTACTACTACTACTACTACTACTACGTACTACTACTGGTACTGTTACTGGTACTACGACGATTCCTGCTTCTACTACATCTAGGACTACTACTACTACACCTCGAACTTCTCATGTCACCACTCCATCTACTACACCTATACCTGCTACTACTACTATTCTGACGACGACTACTACTACTACTACTACTACAAATACTGATACTCCTCCCACTACGACGCATACTAATACTACTACTACTAGAACTACTCTTACTACTACTACTCCTACTACTACTATACTACTACTACTACTACTACTACTACTACTACTACTACTACTACTACTACTACTACTACTACTTCTACTACAATACAACTACCACTACTACTACCACCACTACTACTCTAGCGAAGCATGCCGACCGTGGTGCGCTTCAGGCGTGTCTCCGCGTGCCCTCGCACATATCCCCTGTGTGTTTTTCCTCCTGCCTCTTCTTCTATCTTCCTACATCTATCTTGTTGAGGGAGCCCACGAGGAGGAAAAGGAGGAGGGAGAGAAGGCGATGGGAGCCAAGACAGAAGGCGGTCCTCCTCGAGTCCTACACGTAACCGACTCAGACGATTCACGCGACGGCGACCTCTCAGACGATGATGGCGGCGACGACGCCGACGACGACGACGACCATGCTTACGATGACAACGACGACTTCGACGACGACGATTGAATGGACGACGGCGTCGACGATCCAGCGATCTTTCCTGTCCAGTTCTGCAGTGCGCACGCGGCACAAGTGTCTACCCTGCCCAGGCTCGCAGCTCTGAGCTGCACCTGAAAGGCAAGTTCGCCGATCAAGTCGGGCGCGGGCAGCAGGCGGCAGCTTAGGAGGGAGAGGTGGAAAAGGAGCAGAAGGGGAAATTCGCCTCCAAGATCGGTCCTCTCGAACAGATCTGAGGAACCACGGAACTCAGAGCATGCACGTTCTGGACCAGAATGCAGGTGGTGTGAGTAGTTGGGGCCCCTCGCCCTGGCGTGAGTCGTTCGGGCCCCCTCCTTGTGTGAGTCGTTCGGGCCCCTCGCCGAACGACTCACACATCGAGGAGGGGCCCGAACGACTCTGACCAGGGGGGGGGACTTGAACGACTCACACCAGGAGGAGAGCACCGAACGAATCCACTGCACCGTGGTAGCGGCCACATCCACGGATAAAACTGCCTGATCTCCCAGTGTGGCACAGTAGCGATACCACCCATTACTGATGCAGCGGTGTATCACGAGGTACTCCCAGTACTGGACGAGAGACCATCAACCATCTCAGCCCACTGCCGGACACCCGAAGGAACCCTGCAATCAGACTAAGAGGCAATAGCGGCGAGTACGGTAACCAGCACCATCACCTCAGCAGAATAACCAGCACCATTACAGAGTATAGCAGCCCGCACCAGAGAACCCACGAACGACAGCTCAGTTGAGGCAACATCCCGTGTCCCGACTCGCTCTACCCAGAGTCATAGTGGTAAGTAGTGCACTCGACAGTCGTGCAATACAGAGCATACACCATCTGAGCCCAATGCCGCGCGTGATCCTCCAACAAAGTCATACGGGCGTCCAGAAACGCGTGGCTCTCTTGCCTAGTCGGTGCAGGACTGAACCACCACTGAGTACAGAAACCCGCACTCTCACCAGAACAGGGTAACCCGCACCATCACAGAGTACACTAATCAGCACCAGGGAACCCAAGTACGGGGTTCAGCCGAGTGGAGTACAAGTCCCACTAGCAAGCTGCTTCCTATAGTACAGCCCACCTGAAGCGCCACTGACAATGAGTAGAGGCACACATGTTTTCGCACAGGCCTTCGAGCCTGGTCGACTCGGTCGCAGAGCAGGCTGCGGTGCTCAAGCGCTCAGGCAGCGCCGCAGCGAAAAATCTCAGCGATCGGTGCCACAATGGCTACGGAAAGCCGTGAGGGAATCGCAATGTCACGGGGGAAGGGAGAAAAAACCTCCCCTCTTCTTTGGAGACACACTCATTGATTTTACTACGATTTGGGCCCCACGTTCGCCTTCTGAGGGGGCAGCGCTCATGAAACCTCCCCTCGTCCTTTAAGGCAACATCATTCATTTCACGAAGGTTTTGGGTTCCATTTCCTCTTCTGACGGGAAGAGGCTCCAAGATGGCCCCAAGAGGCCCCAAGGAGGCCCCCAAGAGGCCTCCAAGAGGCTCCCAAGATGCCCCGAAGAGCTCCCCAAGAGGCCCCGAGAGGCTCCCCCGAGGCACCCAAGACGCTCCTGGAAGCCCCTGGGGCCGCCAAGAGGCCCCCAAGACGCCCCAAACGCCGTCTACGAGGCTCCCAAGAGGCCTGAAGATGCTCCCCCAAGCCACACAAGACACTCCTAGAAGCCCCCGGGGGCCGCCAAGAGGCCCCCAAGACGCCCCAAAAGGGGACGAGGTGCCCGAACGCCTCGCGCCACGAGGAGCCCGAACGACTCACACCAGGACGAGGGGCCCAAACGACTCACACCACGAAGAGCCCGAACGACTCACACCACGAAGAGCCCGAACGACTCACACCAGAATGAGGCGCCCGAACGACTCACAGCAGGAGGAGGCGCCCGAACGACTCACACCACGAGGAGCCCGAACGACTCACACCACGACGAGGGTCCCGAACGACTCACACCACGAGGGGCCCGAAGGAGTCACACCAGGAGGAGGGGCCCGAACGACTCACACCCGGTTGAGGGGCCCAAACAACTCACACCACGAGAAGCCCGAACGACTCACACCAGGACGAAGAGCCCGAACGACTCACACCAGAACAAGGGCAGTCACTACCATAGCCGACATCGGAAGAACCACCGAAGCCAAGCTAACAGGAACTGGCTAAGGAACCAGGACCCCAGAAGAGCGAGATCCCAGGGACACGACTGAAACGAATCAAACGAGGCAGAGGCGGAGGAGGAGGACTGTGAAGAGGACACACATGTTTTCGCATCGAGCGCTGTATCACAAGGTACTACCACCAATGAACCAACACGGAATCGAGTCACCAGCACCATCACCTGCCAGGGTAACAAACACCCGCACACAGTATAGTAACCACAGATTCTGGTAACCAGCACGAGAAAACTCAAGTACGGGCCCTGCCAGGTTGCCATGCAAATTCCTCCAGCGAGATGCTTCCTATATTAGAACTCACCTAAAGCGCCACGGAAGCAGAGTAGCGGCACATCCACCATTGGAAACATACCGAAGCTCCAGCCATGTATACAGGAACCACGGACTCCATTGAGGCAACATCCAGTGACCAGCCTCACTGTACCCAGAGATATTCTCTTATAGCAGCGTGAAATCCATAGTGGTAAGTATGGGCCTCACCAGTACTGGAGGACAGACTATAAACTAAACGGAATCTTCGCACCAATGAACCATCACTGAGTACAATAACAAACACTTTCACCAGAACAGGATAACCAGCACCATCACAGAGTGCAGTAACCAGCACCCGAGACGCAAAGTACGGGCTTCAGCCGACTACAATACAAGTCCCACCAGCAAGCTGTTTCCTACAGTAGAGCCCACCTGAAGCGTACGGGGTTCAGCTGAGTGGAGTACACGTCCCACCAGCAAGCGGTTTCCTGTAGTACAGGCCACCTGAGGCGCCAGGGAAAATGAGTAGTGGCACATCCACCATTGGATAGATACCGACGCCGTAGCCATATATACAGGAACCCCCGAACCCATTGAGGCAACATCCCGTTTTC